TATCCCATCGCTGAGAGATCGTATCCAATTGCCGAAGGATATCCCATTGCCGAAGGAGAGACCGATTCATATCCCATCGCTGAGAGATCGTATCCAATTGCCGAAGGATATCCCATTGCCGAAGGAGAGACCGATTCATATCCCATTGCTAAGAGATCGTATCCAATTGCTGAAGGATATCCTATTGCCGAAGGAGAGACCGATTCATATCCCATCGCTGAGAGATCATATCCAATTGCCGAAGGAGAGACCGATTCATATCTCATCGCTGAGAGATCTTATCCAATTGCCGAAGGATATCCCATTGCCGAAGGAGAAACCGATTCATATCCCATTGCTGAGAGATCGTATCCAATTGCTGAAGGATATCCCATTGCCGAAGGAGAGACCGATTCATATCCCATTGCTGAGAGATCTTATCCAATTGCTGAAGGATATCCCATTGCCGAAGGAGAGACCGACTCATATCCTATTGCCGAGAGGTCGTATCCAATTGCTGAATGATATCCTATTGCCGAAGGAGAGACCGATTCATATCCTATTGCTGAGAGAAAATAAGGAATTTACTGAGTCATAATCAATATCCCAATGCGTTTGTGAATTTAGCAACATATAATGAACATAATTTATAATTTTATTTACAAATTATTTATTATAATTAGTATTACTTAATCTGTTATAATGTTAATATAAATTATACAAATATTAAAATTTTCGTGATATTTAAAATATATTTCGGTCATAGCTGCAATGTTTACATTAATCTTAATTGAAAGATTGGTTTAATTCTTAATAATTTGTTCCTTTTTATGAACTTTAGCAAATAAAGAAGTTCAAGTAAATATAAAAAAAATAAGTTTTTGCTTTGTAACTTAAGTTTCTCAAAACGATATTTTTTCTGTCAATTACAAGCAACACAAATGAGCGTATTTACTGTATAAATTGCACGAGATAAATATTTATGTCCAAGTAATTGGTCATAATTTGGTCATCTCAAGGTCGTAGACCTTACTTCAGTAACCGCGCTAAGTAACATTGAATCAATATGGAAAAAATGTCTTAACGGTCATTTGAGAAATATCGAAAAAATAAAATTACTTGAGAAACGTTAAGTTGCGTGTCTCTTATTAAAATGGTTTGATATTTTTTTTAAAAAAAATAGTTGCTAGCAATTTTTACTAGTCTATCGTGAGCATTTTAAAGTTCTTCCGTGCGGGTATTCAATAGTTAAGTTTCTCGGATGATTAGAAGCAAAAAGATATTTCAATTAGGCATTTCTTTGAAAGAAACATGACTAAAAATCTTTTATAGAATCTTTATTAAAATTTTTTTCCAATACTTTTATTTTTGTAATTTATTAGTTTATAATAATTTATAGTGGTTAGGCTATGGATAATAATTCTTAAATAAGCATTATTTTTTTAAATTGAATTTAAAGTACCTAGTTTGGATTTTGGTTTTTTTTGTATCCTCTGTCCGGATATTTATGTGTGCTTTATTAACCAATTAGTAAACTGTATATATAACATGTATCATAAAGTTAAAACTTTAATTAACTCGCTCAATTTAGTTTAATTAACTCTAAGTATAACTTTGGAAGTGATTTATTGCTCCATTAGAAGTTTAGGTAAAAACCCTTTCAACTTTTAATATCATTGCCTACAGTTCATTACTGTAAAAGTTTAAATTTTGGTTTGTTTAATTTTTAAAAAAAATTTTTTTATTAAGGATTATGAAACTCAATCATATTGATAGTATCAGTTACTGCTAGTATTATTTGTCTTTCTATATATAGGTCAATTCTATATATATTGATAACTATATTTCTTAGCATATATGATCAATAGTATTAAAGAACTTAATTGTAAGTATATTTTACTTCCATAGCATGTTGCTAGAAAAGACTCTATTATTATACTACTTATATTTAGACTTTCATTATTTAACTTGCTTCATAGCTAACTCAAAATTGAAATTTCTTTTATATTTTATTTTACTAGATATTCTTTTATATTATTTATTACAATATACTTACACTAGTCAAAATTATGTCATTCAGCAGTTGAATTATTGCCAAATTTAATTAAATTTACTAATAAAAATATTGCTGAATTCTTTTTGATTGTTGCTACTCAGCATATTACATTTTGGCAGTATAGTGACAATCAAAAATTCGGCAATCAAAAATTCGACAATCAAAAATTCGTTAATCAAAATCGGCAATCAAAAATTTGACAATCAAAAAATTTGGCAATCAAAAATTTATTAATTAAAAGTTTAACAAAAAATTCGTCAAAAATTCAATAACTATTCAACAAAAATTCATTAAAAGTTTATCACAAAATTATTTATTAAAAATGATATTAATTTATTAACAATTTATCAAAAATTCATCAACTATTCATTAAAAATTTGGCAACAAAAATTTATAAAACTTGTGAAAAAAATCCTTTATATTTATAAATTATTTGATATTATTTATATAATAATATATAATTAATTAAATATACAATCATCAACTAAAAAAAAAACTCTTTTCGCAAATCCCTCAGATTCTTAAAAATTTCTTTTTTAGGCAATTTACTCAAAGAAAGAGAAACATATTTTTTCAAGATACATATTCTTGCAACACCAACATACAATAGTCATCTTAGCACAAAACAACATTTCGTGTATAGCCCTAGAACAGTAGATTGTTGAAAAATACACATATATAGCAACAACTTTGGCTTTTTTCTCTTTTTAAGAAAAAGGAAGAAAACCAACATAATCTGATTCATAGTCAGAAAAGAGGAGCCAATATCAACTTCACAGAGCTTGCAGCCAGGCCAGTACAGGTTAACACCTTTCTTGATATTACAAGGAATCTTAAAGCAAATAGGTTTGCTCAATAAATTAAGTAAACCTCAAATTCTTCAAGACCCAGAAGAACATCAAAGCTTCCCAAGATCTAAACAGCCTAACATACATATCCTATCTCCACACACATCAAAACACATCACCAGAGTAGTATAAATACGTATATGTATATAAAGCTATTGTCAAAACAAGTTCGACAAAAGTCTAACATAACAGCACAACAAGTATGACTTAAATTGGTAAGATCATCAAATACAATTATCACAATAGAAAGTAATCAACGTAAACAAAGTGTCAGGGATTTGTAAAAAATATAACAATGTCAGTATAAACAGGTAAACAACCTAAGCAAAAAAGGAGAAATAACACGTACCTAATCAAAACAAGATTAAGACACATATAAAAACAAGGTTATAGCTAAAAACAACAAACATTACATGTAAAACCTTGTCAACAATTACTAAAATAGCACCAAGGATATATATTAATCCACTCACGTGACTATTCATAATACAATACAACAATATGACAATAATATCAATCCATATATATATTCTATTATGAATAAAGTAAAGCAGATACTTCAGATAGTAAACAATAGAGAAAACGATATTATTGACATGCTAGTTCAATTGGCAAAAAAGCATGATAAAATAGGCAAACTATGGGCTGCGCAACAAATTGCCAAACAAAAAGATATAATCAATCACAATAGTGTGATGGCAGATGCTCCAAAAACATGTATTATACTGGACAGCATTATTGCCAAAATCTTTGGAATAGATAATACAACATTCCACAAGGAATGAATTCTTATACAATATACCACCTTTCTTTAGCAGAAAGGAAAAGGAAAGAAAGAGGATCTACTTCAATCCTATATAGAAGATAGATACCTGGACATAATCAAAGAAAAGTCAGCAAAAACACTACTTATTCCAATGGAGATCACTACTGATGTAGAAAATGGATCAACATTAGATAATGAAATAACAATGGTAGAAGATCAAGAACAGGAGGAAATAGAAACAGAAACTCTCAAAGGCAAAATTCAAGGTCACAATATATGCGAGTACAGCTCTTATGCTACAAGAAACAGGCAAGTAACCCCAACACTAAACTCCTATTTCATAAACAAAAAGGGCAAATATAAAGTAAAAGCAATGACTGTCAATATTCCAGGGGACAATGAAGAAGAAACCAAGATATACTTGAGTAGCATATTGAAATTGCCATGAAACAAGTGCAATCTTCTTCATAAAAAATTTATCAATAGAAATAAATGGTTGAGTTTTTATCTGAAGGAAGAAGAAAATCTTTTCAAATATTTAGAAGAGATAAACAGAAAGAAAGAAGTTTTCAGTATACAACAACTTGAAAACAAGGGCACCAATCTAATACAAAATATAGAGATATTAGACAAGAAGATCTTTCAATCAAGA